TTATAAACAAATTATTAATTAAAAACAAATTAACAACTAATAACGAACCTTGATATTCTTGATATTTTGTCTTTGTATTTTTAATGGTTATAAGAATACCTCAACCACGGGGTTTTGATTTTCAATAAGCATTTTTACTTTTTATTTTTTAAAAAATAATCTTTTTACGATGTCATATGACATAACTTATTATATATCACCTAATTTAATTTTTGATGCAAGTGCCACCAAAGAAAAGGGTTAGAGAGCTTGAGATAAAAAAGGGGAGAGCAAGAGTGGAGAAAATGAAAAGTTGAGAGAAAGTAAAATTGATAAGAGGTTAAAGTTTGAGTATTTTATTTATTTTTATTTTTAGGATTAAGAAAATAGAAATTTAATATTAATTTTTAAGTAATTTAATAAAAAAATTAATGTTAAATAAAATAAATAAATAAAATTAAAAATAAATATTTTTATTAAAAAAATTAATAAAATTAATATCTTAAATAAAGAAATACAAAACTTACCTCTTATTTGCATCATTTTCCATAGAAAAATGAGGTGATAGTATGATATATAACATGACGAGACAGACCGTGCAGGAGCACTAGTTTCTCTTCTTTGGCAGGCTACAATGCCGTACTCGCTTTTAAATTATAGACAGACCCTTTTTGTTTTTTAACCAAAAAAAAAAAAGACAGACCCTTCTTTTTTTTAACAGATTTTACGGGGACTGGGTTCGAACCCAGTCTGGAGAGAGGAGAATGCATGAGTAGCTATTGCCACTTGATTCGAAGAGTTCGGTGCAAGACAGACCCTTTTTGTTAAAAAAAAAATGGTAATGAATACATTGCGGGCGTATTTGATTTGAGCAACTTTGGGCGGAAAGTTTTTATTCAGGAATTGGATTAATAATTTATTGAAATTTAAAATTTTTATATAAAAAGTTATTAAATTTATGTAATTAAGTTTTTTCTTTTAATTTTATTTGATTAATAAATTTATTATATTTAGTAAAAAATTAATATAAAAAATTTAATAAAAA